TCTTCAGTATAGGGGCTATTGTGAATATTTGAGCACTGGCATATAAAAGTCTGTGTATAGATACATGCTTTCTTTTATTTGGATGATAATTTCAGGAGAGGACTAGCTACATCATACATGTAGGCATATGTTTAACTCCTTAAGAAATTACCAAATTCTAGTTGAAACTTAATTGTACATTTTCATTCCCATCTGTTGTTGGTTATTTTTGCTTTTTAGTGGGGCCTGCCACCCAGCTCTCAAATAAATCACACATGGACTCTTATTCTTAATTTTAAATGCCCGGACTTAGCTTGACTTGTTTCTTGCCAGCTTTCCTTAACTTATCCCATCTACCTTTGGCCTCTGGGCTTTTCCTAGTCTCTTACTCCTGTAAATCTTACTCTTTCTCCATGGCTTGTTGTGTAGCTGGGTCTGATGTCTTTCTCCTTCTCTGGTTCCTTCTCCTTCTCTTTTTCTTCTCAGAGTTCTCCTTCTATATCTACTCTCTGCCTGCCAGCCCTGCCTATCCTTTCTCCTGTCTCACCATTGGCCATTCAGCTCTTTATTAGACCATCAAGTGTTTGAGACAGGCAAAGTAAGAGCTTCACAGAGTTAAACAAATGTAACACAAGCAAAAATAACACATCTTAAAATAATATTCTACAACACACATCAGCAATATAAGACTGTAAGTGTTTCACATCTTTGCAAGGACTTGATAATGTCAGTTGTTTTCCATTTATTGTGATCAATGAGTCTAATATGCATATGATTATAGGAATGACTTTTAAAAATAATGATATAAAGTTGATTTTTTGGGGGGACGCAGACTATCTGAATAAAGATGTATTTGAACTGTAGGAATGCAAACCCAGCAACAGATTCTGTTGATACGACTTATTCCATATGTGCATCAATATCTTTCCACATGTAAGTCTACTGTTTGTACTTTTACATTCTCCAAAAAGACTCATTCTCTCTGAACAATAGAAAAGGTAATCTTCTGTTTTGATAATCGATACTACACATGCATATATTTTAATGTGCAGCTGTTTAGCAACTTTTTTTTTATTTTATTAACCAGGATAAAATATGCGTGGTTTGTACCTTGTAGCAATAATTTTGGTCATCACAATTTTCACCAGATCAGAATGAATCTAAAATTGTATAGTATTATCAAATTATTCATATCATGATTTAATTTTATATAGACAGTGAGTCTATATAAAATACAAAATATAATAATTCCGAGCTAACAAGAAAGTTTTAAACTGCCAAGTAAAACTATCCACTGGAAGCCCTTTTTCTTCTAATGATTCAATACTTTTTTTTATTTTAGTGAGAATGTACAAAAATGGCTTAAATGCACTTATATTATTCTTTATGGATGTGCTCACTATTAAGTTCATTCTTCATCACTTTAATCAAAATGACTTCCGTTTCTTTGACCATAACAACAAATGTGGAGAAAATGCAGCTAAGCATTGATTTAGTTAGACAAAATCAACTAAGTCCTTCTGAAGAAAAATGTAATAATTCTATAAAAATTGTCAAAGAACACTCATAACCTTGATTTTTTTCACTTACTCTGTGTACAACATGAAATCAGCAACCCGTATCTGATTCATAAATTACTTTGAACTATGAAATCAAAATATTCTTGTTATAATGTTATTTATAGAATGTAACAATTAAATTGCGAGGGGCACTGAGAGGTGAGAGAGGGGAGAAAATGTGTGTTTGCATATAACCTTTTGTTCTTGAGTGCCTGATTATTTCTGCAGGAGGTAGAAAGGATATCACAAATTATTAGTTGGATAATGTATTTTGGAGCTGGCTGAAATCTTAAAGTTAATATACTTTAATTTCCTCACATTTCCCAGTGAAATTATTAACTGTAAGCTTTTTAAATGTCTGAAGGTTATAAAGCCAGTTAGTGGAAGAATTCTGACTGTAGTCCAAAACTTCTGATAGCATGTTGAATTTTATTCCCCACTAAGTTTTTGTTTGTTTTTTTGTTTTAGGTTTTGTTTTGTTTTTTCACATAGGGTTTCTCTGTGTAGCTTTGGAGCCTGTCCTGGAACTCGCTCTGTAGACCAGGCTGGCCTCGAACTCACAGAGATCCACTGGCCTCTGCCGTCTGAGTGCTGGGATTAAAGGCATGCACCACCCCTGCACGGCCCCCTGCTACAAATTTATCATTTTTCAATTTCTTGAGTGTACATAAGAGAAGCTACTCTCAATAATGTGAAAAATATTCTTTAAATGTTAGTAAATATAGCTATGTAGCTTCCATGGTTTAGACTGAAGCAGAAATTGCTGTAACTTGTGAGAATCTACTGGTAATAAGAAAGTATTTGTGGGATAGTATTAGCTTGTTGCTGATGCTACATGATCAGTTTTTACTATAGTATTTCTTCGGTTTTTACCCTTGAAACAACACCAATGCTATGGAATTTATTTCCTCCTGATAAGTAAATCCACACAAAAAAATTTACAACGAAGTAACATTTGAATATAAAGGCATATGAGAGTAACTTAAAATTAGTACAAGAATTGTAGATGCACACTGAGAAAAGTATCTTAGCATATTCCAAATGTAAGTAAAAATAGCCGATATCAGGCAAAGTGTATGAGAAACCTAAACAAAAATCCCAGGACATATCGACTGTAACTAGTCGGCTCAGAATAATTTTCCTTTCACTAAATGGTGGATATTATTTATATTATTTAGGATAAACCTAAATAAGTTTGTACTTTGTAGTAAATTTTTGATTATTTCAAATGGGTATTTGAATATATATACTCATTTGGTGCCTATTTTGCTACAGCATGATTCAGATGATCATATTTACTAGACAACAGGAAGCAATAACACTTCCCTGAAAAGGAGATGCACTAGCTGACTTTGTCTGTGAACTTGACACAAGCTCTGATCATCAGAGAGAAAGGAGCCTCTATTGAGGAAATGCCTCCATGAGATCCATCTGTGAGACATCTTTGTAAAAATAGTTATCAGTGGGGGAGGGCCCAGCCAATGGTAAGTGGTACCATCCCTGGTCCTGGATTCTGTAAGAAAGCAGGCTGAGCAAGCCATGGGGAGCAAGCCAGTAAGCAGCACCCCTTCATGGCCTCTGCATCAGCTCCCGCCTCCAGGATCCTGCCCTGTTTGCGTTCCTATCCTGACTTCTTTCCGTGATGAACAGCAATGTTGAAGTGTGAACCAAATCAACCCTTCCCTCCCCAACTGGCTTTTTGCTCATGGAGTTTGGACACAGCAGTAGAAACCCCGAGACAAGAGATGATTGGGTTTTTCACCAAATAGCAAAGTCCAAAGGACATATTCTTGCCCTTTTTAGTTCTCATTTTCTTGTCACAGAAATATGATAAAAAATACTTAAGGTAACCTATTTCCTAAGATTTCTGTAAGAATAAAATGTGATAATAGGTAAGAGACTTACTGGCAAAGTTTAAAGACTGAATTAATTTGAGTGATCATCATTCTTTTATAGACAAATTTTTTTATCAGATATATTTAAAAACTGTGGTCACAACATTTCTCTGAAATCTTATGAATATATCTAGTAATTTCAAAGAAAGATGAAATGGTTGTATTTAAGCTGGCTAAGGAGCTTCTTGATAAAGCTTGGATTGTAAAAATCACACTAAATTTGGCTTAGTTAATACATATTTCAATAAACATTTTGAAACACTCAGTTTTCTATTAAAGACAATCACTACATTTGAGAATGTTAATGAAGCAACAAAGTGATAGTGCTTTTTAATTTTAACTGTTTTTATTTTTTATTTATTCTAGTTGTTTCATTTCCCTTTTCTTTTCTCCTTCCATCTCCTCCTATTGTCCTTTCTACTCCTTCTCAAATCATGGTCCTTTATTTTTTAATTATTGTTGTTACACATAGAGATAAACATGCACACACACACACACACACACACACACACACACACACACATCCTGCTGAGTTCATTTTGTGTTGCATGTATGTATTTGTTTTAAGGGCTAACCACTTGGTATTGGACAACCAATTAACCAATTAGGAGATTGGAGAATATTAGTTCCCTCTTCTTCACTGGGGTTAATTGCCCATAGTTTTTCATCTAGAAGTGGCACCCTGCGAGATCCCCCCGCCCCCCCATCTACATTGGCATGTCTATTGGTGATGTCATTGTTCAGGTCTAGTTTAGGCAGCCATGCTCATGATAATTTGGTGGGTATGGGGGTAGGGCTTCTCTTCCTATCTTGAAGACACTGTTTCAAAGCAGCCTTCCTGTTTCTCTGGCGCTTATCTTTCTGGGCCTTCCTCTAAGATGTTACTTGAGCATTATGTGGTTATTTGACCAAGATACACTATATGCTACAAACAACAAGACAGACTTTGGTCATTCTAGACATAGTTTCGTTTCAGGCTCATTTACATTTGAATTTTATTTTCTAATGATATATATCCTGATATATCCTAATATATTATAAGCAAAACTAACTGGGGAGTGGTGGTGCATGCCTTTAATCCCAGCCTTTTGGAAGCAGAGTTAGGCAGATTTCTGTGAGTTTGAGACTAGCCTGGTCTATAAATCCAGTTCCAGGACAGCCAGGGGAACACAGAGAAACCCTGTCTGGAAAAACAAAAACATCAAATAACAATAACAAAACAAAACAATACAAAGAAAAACTATTGCAAAGAAATGTTTATTCAGTTCTAAAACATACAACAAAAATGCCAAAGTAATTTTCTTATCGCATTGGAAGTATATATTTTTTTTATTTTTAGGATTTCTTTTTATTTATTTATTTATTTATTTATTTATTTATTTATTTTTATTTTTATTTTATTTTATTTTTTTTTTTTTTTGGTTTTTCGAGACAGGGTTTCTCTGTGTAGCTTTGCGCCTCTCCTGGAACTCACTTGGTAGCCCAGGCTGGCCTCGAACTCACAGAGATCCACCTGGCTCTGCCTCCCGAGTGCTGGGATTAAAGGCGTGCGCCACCACCGCCCGGCTATTTTTTGTGTCTTTTACATCATGCATCTACATCCCATTCATTTCCTGGCCCTGCATATCTGCTCTCTGTAACCCTCTACTTCCCCCATCCCCCAACCCCTGCCAGATAAAGATTAAGAGAAAAAAGAGAAGAAATAAAAGCAAAAAAAAAAAAAAAAAAAAAAAAAATCTCGCCATGGAAGCTGTAGTGTGACACAGTGAGTCACACAGTTAACCACTTTTGTCCATATATCTTTACTTGCAAGTGTTCATTGTAAAGAGTCATTGGTCTTCCAAGGCCTCTGGTTTCTGCTACACTATCGGTGCTGGGCCCTCACTGGGGCCCCTTTTGGTTATGCTGCTGTTGCCCTGTGTTGCGGAGATCCTGTGGGCTTTGGGTCTGTAGGACGGGTCCCTTCATGTGCTCCAGCAGTTCACAGATGGAATGGATATTGGGGTGGGTCAATGCATAACCCTGGTTCTGGGCCTGGGTAGTTGCAGGATTGGTCAGCACACCAGCTCTTCCTTGTCCTCACCACCAGGGTGCGCTCTCCTGCATTGCCTTGGTGAGCTCACCCTTTGTAGCACAGGGACTAGACCAGGCCTCCTACTTTCACATCCTCAGGGTCAGATCTCCCACATCTACACCTTCAGGGCCAACTCTGTTGTGCTGCCCCGGCGTGGTGTAGGGGACATTCTCCCTAGTGCTGTAGCAGACTTACTTTTGTTTTCTAAATAGAAATTTAATAAATATCAATTGAATCTTTATAGTTACAGTTAACTGTCCTAATTCTGTATTTTCTGTATACTGCCTGTTTAGCATTGATCAACTTATTTATATTCTCTGAGCTTTAATTAACACAATAACTGAAAGCCAGCAAAATGGCTCATTGGTAAAGGTGTTTGAGAGCATGTATAACCACCTGAGTTAAATCCCCAGAATCCACATGGTTCAATGAGTTAACTGACTTCTAAAAGTTGTCCTCTGACCCCGCAAACTCACTGTAATTTCTCTAAAAATAATTAAAGAATGGTAAAGTGTGGTTCACAGGTTAAAGCTCCATATTTCGTCCATGAGAGCGACAGCTGAAGTTCATTGAGAGCACATGGGATGTCTCAAGTATTTAATGTGTGGTACCTAGTGTACTGGCTGATTTTGTGTGTCCACTTGACACAAGAGTCATCAGAGAGAAAGGAGCCTCAGTTTAGGAGGCCCCATGCCTCCATGAGATCCAGCTGTGAGTCATTTTCTCAATTAGTCAGCAATGGGGGAGAGCCCAGGCCATGGTGGGTGGTGGTGGTGCCTTCTGTGGGCTGGTGATCCTGTGAGTTCTATAAGAAAGTAGGCTGAGTAAGCCAGGGGAAGTAAGTCAGTAAAGCAGCACTCCTCCATGGCCTCTGCATCAGCTCCTGCCTCCAGGATCCAGCTCTGTTTAAGTTCCTGTTCTGATTTCCTTCAATATGAACAGAAATATGGGAGTATACACCAAATAAACCTTTTCTCCCCAACTTGCTTTTTGGTCATGGTGTTTGATCACAGCAATAGAAACCCTAATTAAGACACTTAGTACAGTCACATCACTCATGTCTTTTCATGTTCTCCTCACAAAATTGTGTTGTTCTTTTCATAGCCACATTAACCCATTTAGAGTTTGGCATAGATTAATATATACTGAAGACACAATGGATAAGTAAAAGGTCTTACTTGAGAAAAAATGTCTTGATATGAGTATTATTACATTATTCAGTCAAACATCTTCTCTGGCACAATGGTACTTTCTGACACACCTGCCATCCTTTTCAATGGTAATTGATGGTGGACAGGGTTCGGGAAAATAAGTACAGTGTTAAAGCTTTAAAAAGTTTTAAAGAGGCCACTATTTAAGTGAAGGTGCTCTGAACGGGACTTTGATCAATATAGGAGCAGAGTGCTCTAACTGCGTGGACAAGTACACACCAGAGCCATGAAATGTAACCAGGGATCGCTTGTAAGTGCCCTGTTACAGCCTAGCTGGGACGCTCTGTGAAGAAATTAGCAGTTGTATTTCCTGTTTGCTATTTATGGGCCGGGTGCATTAATTTCGATTTAAGGAGTATCATTTCTGCTGGAGTCCTCCACTGCCTGTCTATAATTGGATAATGGGCTTCCTGCTTAAGAGTAGCAAGAGTTGCTTCCTTCTCCTGAAGTGAATCGATCAAGTTTGTTCACGCTCAGCTCTCACCCTCCACCAGTTGAGGGAGCACCAGACCTCTTCACTGGAAGCTGGAGCAGCCCCTCCTTCAGGGACCTCTCCCTAGGAATCTGTGCCTTCTCCCAGTAAGAGCACAGCCAGCCCTGTGCACAGCAATTCAGTCCCCTCTTCGAGTTTTCCTCTTCACCAAGAAGTTTCACCAAGGAGGTAGTCTATTAATGAGACAAAATAAAACGGAAAGTTTATTTGGTATGTACAAGGCAAACAAATGCCCTGTTGTGTATGTTTGGGACATTTTGTTATATGGATTTGAGAGTTTTCTCAAATACATGTGAATACAGCAATGCAAGAAGAGCCCCCCTCTCTCCCTCCCCACCACACACCCTACACACACCGAGGGGATGCCATATGTCCCAGTTGAGACCTACATGGAGAAGACATGCTGAATATGTCACACAGTATTATTGTGAGAGGACAGTCATCAGTTTCCTCTCTGGCAATGAGAATTTTCTCACCCTCAAGACATGCAAATGACTTTTTTCATCTGTTCTTTTTATGTTATTTGCATAATTTTCTCCTGCAAAAGTGAGAGCTGTCAAAAATTAACCATTTGGGGCTTCAACATTCAGTTCTGTGACCTTTCCCAGAACATTAAATCTCTCCGGGGACCAACGAACTTTGGATGTGAGAGAGTAGAGGATACTGAGAAGTGACCAAAAGGGTGGATGATGGATGAGGAGCAGCAGGTAGGTAGAGACACCTCACTACATTTAAACAGTCACTGGGTATTTATTCCCTTGGATACAAGTACCATTGTTGCTATTTTCTTTCCTTCCATCAGCATTTACAGATAATAGGGAAGATGTCTCTGTTAGGTGCCATAGACTCTTCTGTTGTTACTCTGGGTAATCACATAAACGTTTTTTTTGGAAATGTGATGTTAATATAAAAATGCTATTTGAAAGAGTGCAGGGGCAGCACTCTGTTTTGCATGCCTTGGTTTGTATGCTCGTGTCTTACAAAACTGCCAGATATGCTTATTTAGTATGAATACTACCTTTTTACAAGTCAGAGTTGCCCTCTGGAGGGCTGTAATAAACCTTTAAAGTCATTTTAGTTAGACAAAGGTTGATATATGTAGCAAGCTATGGGCAAAGGCAAATCCAGCTATCTCTTTTATCACATTGTTTTAAACATGTTTCAGCTTTAGGCTTGGCTTACAAATCAGCCCGATCAGTCCAGTAATTGTCTCACTGCGCCTTATATCTAACACGAATACATCTTGCGAAATCGGCTGGAGAAAGCCGATTTGCTGAAGTCCTGCAATGGCTAACACTGTGTCTAATCACCCTATAAATTATAGTCATAGTTGTAGTTTATCCATCAGGCTGAGAAAGACCAGTTTCCCAAGTGGCCTTGGTTCCTTTTCTGATTCCCAGGAGACCCACAACCCCTCCGCATGCTTTGCCTGCACGCAGGGAGCGTTGCCTGCTAATCAGGTCAATGAATACCGCCTGGCTCCAGGGACCTGACAGGCGTCCATCACAGCAGTTAGGGAGCCTGCAAACAGTGCAAGCTCACGGAGAAACTCCCGCTAGAAAACATCGCTCAGTCCTCATTTACTCACTGGGAATCTCCAAGGATTTCAGCTGATCTTTTTTCTCCCTTCAGACAGCGAGGAGCTTGGCATAAACAGAGGCAAAGGAGTACAGCGCGCTGCCACTCTGTGGGTGTTGATTGAAAACTTCGATCTCCCCACTGTTTCACGGTTGATCTGAAGGATTTCTCACTTGATCACGGAGAGTATTTCAATTAAGGTAAGTGCTGCTGCGCCTGACTGGCTACATCGCGCGGTATCTCTGCACGGAAAGTTCTTACTGTCTGCGCTGACATTCTGCACTGCAGTAAGTGGCTGTCTATGGCAGGGCAAGGCTTAGTTTTACAAGCAAGTGTCCTGGATGCGAGCCTGCATTTGGGGATAATGGCATCTCAGAGGCGTTCTTATCAAATCTGATAGTTCTGCTTTTCATCAAAAGAAAATAAAAGGTTATGTGAAAAGGTAGATGACTTCTTTTCCTTCTTTAATAATCTGGTAAGAGACCTGCAGGGTGCCAAGGTAACTTGATTTTGCTTGACGTTGTTCCTTGATGCCAGACCTTCTGGAGGGCAAAGAAATTTGCAAATACTTTCTGAGATCCTGTCCAGGTCTCTACTTCAGCAATGTCTCTGCACTTCCTTTAGGTGTAAGGACCAAGGGCTGGATCTCTGAGAGTTTAAAAGTGTGCATTTAAGAACTGAAATTTAAATGGGAACAGTGTCTGATAAATTTTTCAGAGAAATTAAGCTACAGGATTGATTATTCCAATGGCACAATGTATAGTCCTTATACAAGATAGATGGAATTTTTTTATTAGATAAGTTTTGAAAAGAAAATACTGCTTTCTGAAATGTTTATTTTTAAGGAAGGTAATTTAAGGATATATGTTGAAATCTCAACTTCTAGGTATGTTATTTCTGAGGTTATTTTTGTTATCCACCTATAGCAAATTGAGGTTAGGTTAACAGGTCACACATAGTTTAGGGCAATTATCCACCTACTTTCAGTAAAATAGTTCATCTTATTTCTTCTGTATCCATTCCTCTTTGCAATTAGTTCAAGGTACCTAGAAAGATCATGGTAAAACTTTTTCCAATGTTAACTTGAATTATGTAAACTTTTCCCATTCCTCTTTAGTTAGCACATGTAAATATAGCCTGAAGTACTGTACCACACTATGGGCAATATGATCAAGATAAACAAAATATTTTGTTCATTAAATTTACAGAGGCTCTATTGATTATCACTCTTAACATGGGAGAATAGTGACTGTGTACCTTGCTATTGTGTGGGTCAATTACCATAAAATCATTTTTAAATAATTAAACACACTATTTAAAATACAATTGCATGCTGTTACATTACTTTTTGTACTGAATTTCAATAACTAATCTGAAATATTACAGTGCAAGCAAAATATCTAACTGCTTTGTGTGTATTACTTGTCATGGTATCCCAAATGTGTTTTTAAAGTGAAAAGTCATATTTCCCAAATGTTGACTCCACTTTCATTCCATAGGTATCTTGAGATGGGAAGTCTTATAAAGATGTCAGAACACTGTTTGTGTTAATTCCCTGTGCTTCTGCAATTCCCCATGGGAGCTATTCAGGCCAATGCTGTTGCTATTGCTTCCTACACAGGAATAAAATATTTGCAGAAGGACTGTAGGCTTGCGTGCTTAGGGATAGTTGTCTGTGTTTTCACCCAATGCCTGAAGATAATTTGCTATTTCTATTGCACTGAGATGTCTATCTCTTTGTTGGAATAGGGTGGCTTCTCCAAGATTTAAAGATAACTGTGGAAAATTGTCTTCATTGTAATCACTACCCAGGGTAGCTTTATTCACCTCTGTTCTTTAAATCAAACTAGGTAAAGAGGTAAATAACCAAAACATGTTTGATATTAAATCATTTTCTTACTGCTAGTATCAGTTCTGTATTATAGACTACCCCATGTACTGGTTCAAGCTGATGGTAACTTCAAACCTAACGAGCTTTTATGGGACATTCTGGTCAATGAAGTGTATGGCCATCAAAGAACAGATATAGTGTGTTCTAATGCATTTATATAAACATGAAAACAAAGGACTTTTACTGTTGCTGTGGTTACTATTTTTTTTTTAATTTTCATTTTATGAACAAGGGAGGGAATGGAGAAAGTCTTGTGAGCAAGTGGAAATTAGTAGTTCGAGTCTTCCAGGTGACTCAGCAGGTAAAAAGTGTTTGCCACCAAGGCTGGGAATATGAGTTTAATGCCCAAGTGGTGTACTTAGAGAAAGGATCCCTGCAAATAGTCTTCTCACCTCCACATGTGCACTGTAGCACACATATGTCCATCGATACATGGATGTACATGTGCACATGCACACACACACACACACACACACACACACACACACACTAAATTATTAATTAATTAATTAAAATAATTTAGAGGGAATTTAGTCATTTATTTTAGGTAGAATGTATGATTTACTTTTCTCCAACTTACTATATTATTGCCACTTGTCATCATACATCTAGGAGCTGCGTGGATTCTCAGTTTCCTTTTGCTTGATTAGAATGTATTCCTTCTGCAGCATCAGAAAGAATTTCATGGCCCACATTGACACAGAATAAAGCAGTTCCTAAAAGCAAAGAACTGTTACAACTTCATGAAATTTAGAACGGGACTAAAGCTCAATGGTAGAGCATTTGCTTCATGTATGTGAGTCCCTAATATCAAATCCCAACACACTCTCTCTCTTCCACACCCTCACACACATGCAAACACATACACAGGCATAATGATTTAAATCCAAAGTCACTTTTAGAGAACTGAGATTGAAAAGAAGCTAAGAGTAATCCATATTCATCCAAAGACAAGTATAATATTGGATTTCCACTGGTGAGTGAATGTGTCATGAAAGAATGTAATCCAAGAGTCAATTTAGAGAAAACTTCCTACTTTGGACAGAGGACTAAAGTTACAATTGAATCCTTTATTTTGATTCTTTCTGAAGAACACTGAAGGAAGTTAGAGCTTTAAAACATAGAGTCAGAGGTAGACAGATCTCTATGAGTTTGAGGCCAGCCTGACCTACAGAGTGAATTCTTCGCCAGCCAGGGCCACATAGAGAGACCTTGTCTCAAGGAAATAGAAACCAACAAACAGATATCAGTGGGGATAGGATGGACTACCGAGTAACTGATAGAAACTGAGAGAAAAGATTTGGATTTTTGACTTGAAAACCAAGAACAAGCCAGGCATGGTAAGGTGTGAGCCATCAGACCCAGGCTGGTTCTCTAGTCTCCTTCAAGTAGACCCTGTGTTACTGCCACAGCATCCTTGAAAAAGTCTTTATGCCCTGTGGGTCAGTTCTTCCTGCTCTTCTTGTTTTTCTAAATTGCTCTGTGATTTCTTAGTTCCTACTTCTCTGCAATGTGTACTCATACTGCCAGGTGCCTGGGGAAAGTCTATATTTTTATTGGAGTTACACTGAGTTTATGAATTTGGCTAGGAAAAGCAGGTATTTTTATGATAAAGCCTTTCTATCCATAAAGGAGAATCTCAACTTATGTCTTTAAATGTGTTTCAATAAAGTTGTATAATATTTTTCATATTAAAAAAACATAGAGTCACTGTTTGACTGTTCTTATTGAACAACTGACTGGATTACAGGGTAGGAAAAACTTAAACAATCAAAGTAGAGTAATGTCAAAACGCAGCCAAAGCTACTCAAAGCAGAGTCACTCATTTCTGTATGGTCAAGCATGAGCTTAGAATATGCTCAAGAGCCTGTAAGATTGAGTCCTTGTTCAGATGTGAACCATTCACTTTGGATGATTTTTTTTTGGCTATCTGCATAATGACTATAGTTTGACTATCTTGGAGAACATGCCCTTCATTTTAAAGTTGAATGTACTTCCTATAAGCACATTCATGTTTTTGTATAGGATTTAAATATTCTAATTGTAAATTCTGACCAGGATATTCTTTGTTGGGTTCTATCTATTTACCTCTCTACACAAAAATAATCAATTATTTTCAGCAACGAAATCCACTGTTTTCCTTAGTCCAAGCTACATATCTTTATGATTCTCTGTGTAGAAACTTACAGTGAATTATAGCATCAGATTTTCCTTTTTCCTAATTTAGTAGAATGAGGGAAAAAATGAAGAAGCAAAGTTTAGAGACATGATAAAATCAGTGTACATAGAAATGTGGCCTAGTGGCTGGGGTCATAATTATTCCCAGGTGACGCTGACAGAGAAATGCAGAGTAATGCTCTTGTCAACAAGCAATTTTAAAATACAAAGGGGCATGAAATTTCTCTGCAGGTTCTTCTTCGGATTTCTGTGTCATGGTTTCAGATAATGTATTATTTGTTTTAAAATTTTATTACATTAATGTATTTGTGTGTGTGTGTGTGTGTACTTGCACATGCACACATATATTTACATGTTTGTGTGAGTATTAACATATAACAGGTTAGTTATCATGGTTACAAAAGAACATGAGTAAAGTCATTCTCTTCTTTTACCATATAGGTTCCACAGACCAAACTCAGGTCTTGGGTTTTCAAGCTTGGCAGCCAGAAGCTTTATGAGCTAAGTCATCTTGTCTGTTTGAGATCTTAAACTTCATTTTTTATTAAGAAATTTTTTATTCATTTTACATGCCAACCACAGATGCTCCTCTCATCCCTCCTCCCACTCCTCCCCCAGTCTTTCCCCCAGCCCACCCTCCATCCCCTCCTCCGAAAAGGTAAGGCCTCCCCATGAACTTTTGACCGAGATCTTAAACTTCTAACATCCTCTCCAGGAAGGGTGGTGCTCCTCGTAGATGAAGTACATGGCTCTCACATTACCCCATCTTTCTTCTCTACCCCATAGTAGTGAAAAAGACGCAACGTCTTTTCTAGTGACTGAATTTGACTTGTCTAGTCTTTCGAGACTACAGGTTGATGAGATTTAACAGGTAGCTGTTTTCATCTCTGAGCAAACTGTGAGCAAAATTGGTGAATTGTCATAAAGCCTCTGTGTAGTTCTGTCTCAATGCCATTGTTGATTTTCACTGAAATTACATATGTGAGCTTGTTTCTTCACCCAAGTCTTTTTTATCATTTCATCCAAAATGTGACACTCTGTCCTACTTTTTAATCTCACATTTACTAAATTCTGTTTATTGGTAGTTTCTGTAATGTGCCCATGACCTCTAAGAAGAACAGGCTATACTCT